CTATCAATATCAACTAAAATAGAGACTTTATTTAGGTTTCTCCAGTTTCCTTAGTAATGACCTTTTCTGTTCTAGGATCCAATCCAGGGCAGCAGGGTGCATTTTGTTGTCATGCTTCCTTAGTCTCTTCTAAACTGTGACAAATTCTTTAATCTTTCCTTGTCTTTCATAACTTTGACATTTAAAAAAATATTTCAGTTTTAAAGTATAATTAACAAATAAAATATTTAAAGTATACATCGTGGTGATGATATACATTGTGAAAGGATCCCATCTAGTTAATTAAGTTAATTTGCAGAATGTCCCTCAATTTGAGTTTATCTGTTTTTTCACAATAGATTGAGGTTATGCATTTTTTGGCCACAGTGAGGTGCAGGAGTAACCCTTTTAGTTCAACTGATTTATACTGATTCCTGCTTTATAAAGATAAATTATAAAATGAATAAAACACTAATCTAGTATTAGGCTGAAGTATTTACAAAATTACTTATTTGAAGGCCTGATTTTATTTGTATGATTCATCCCCAGTGGGACTCTAGCTTTTATTTCTTTGGCTTATAGATAAATGTCTCCTAGGAGGTGGGGGTAATAATTTTAACTCTCAGAAAAAAATGAAATTTATACTAAAGTATCTAAATCACAAATTTTTATTTGTATGCTAAAAAAGTTATGCACAATCTATTTCATCAATCTATTCAATTCAATGCTTACTTTGAGATTAGGAAAATTAATGAGAAAATATTAAACATATCCAATATACTGGTGGCAATAGCTACCCTAACCAAAATACAGGTAAGGTCAGAAAGAAAAATTAGCATTTTATTTTAATGTCTTTCAAAGCAAGAACTCTATTTAGTTTCTTAGAAATTCCCAGTAGCGCTTAAGTGTTCCTAAATACTATATTTTAAAATGTTTTCATGAAATAGGATTTTTCCAGAAAGCCTCACCTGAATAACTCCACTGCTCTGTAACCACCAACTCTCCTTATTCCAAATCTCTTCAGAATGTATAATATTCACTATCTACTGTGTTATCTTGGGCTTACTCTTTGTAACTGTTCTCATCTGTAGACTTTACCTTCCCCAGTAGGCTTAAAACTCCAAGGGTAGAAACCCTGGCTATTTCTGTCACCAAAGTGCCTAGCACAAAGTTCTACCTGCACATGAAAGCATCCAAAATATCCTGATGATATGGAGAGTCAAGGCTTTATCACATATACATGAGAAAATTTAGGTGGAAAAGGTATTTTTCCTCCTCAAATGAATGAAATATGAAATTTCAGAAGCCTGACGCTAAGCAAAACGAAAGATTATAGTATTTGTATCTCTGTAATCGTGGTAAATTTGAGTTATTGTTCCAACAGTGGTAGCTTTTTGGACAGCAACTGTTCTTTCCTTAAGGCCAGTGATAATTTTCAAACATACTACCAAATTTCCCATAATCTTCAAAGTCAAATGTCACATCTTAACACATAAATGTATGTTTCACATAACACTGAATCAATCAATAAAATGGTTGGAAATTTAAGACAAAGTATATATACTGAATTGAACTTACAATCTTTGTTAATAGTGTAACATGCTGATATTTTGCCGATATGCCATAGTATATTTTTAAAAATAAATTTTTCACCCAGCCGGGCGTGGCTCAGCGGTTGAGTGTCGAACTAGGATCCAGGCGATCGGGGTTCGATACCCAGTCAGGGCACATGCCCGGGTTGTGGGCTCGATCAATGACTCTCTTATCATTGATGTTTCTATCTCTCTCTCTCCCTCTCCTTTCCTCTCTCTGAAATCAATAAAGATATATTTAAAAAAATAAATAAATAAAAATAAAATTTTCTTCTAATGAACCTCAAAAAAGATTAAAGTGCAGAGGTGTTTTAACAGTTTAACAATTTCCTGTTACTACTAACTAGAATTTTACCACTCAGTGTATATTCTTAAAGTTAGCAAAAAATATTATTATAATATCCTACACTGACACTCTAGAATCGACATACACACTCAAAGGCATAATGAAAATCTACTCACACAAATAAATCTACTCACACATGATAAACATGCTGTTTATCAGACTTATTTAAATGACTGACTCATAAAATCAGGGCACTTTGAAGAGAAATGAAGTATCCTGCTACATTTAACTTTTTAAGAAATATATGTTTTTATTGATTTTAGAGAGAGAGGAAAGGAGAGGGAGATAGAGACAGAGACACAGAGAGAGAAAAACATCGATGTGAGAGAGAAACATTGATTGGCTGCCTCTCGCAAGCACCCCAAATGGGTTCCGCAACCTGGGTATGTGCCCTGACTGGGAATTGAACCGGTGTCTCTTAGGTGCAGGGGACCATGCTCAACTAACTGAGCCACACTGGGCTACATTTAACATTTTAATAGGGAGTAGAAACAAAGAGGACACATGAAATTCTAATTTTTACTGAATACAGGGGTGGGGAATCTTTTCTCAGCAAAGGGCCATTTGGATATTTATAACATCATTCATGGGCCATACAAAATTATCAACTTAAAAACTAGCTATGAAAAAAGCTCCTAGATTTATTGAATTTTGAGCTACATGAATTCAAGGTGGGCTACTTGAATTTTGGTTGCCTTGGCAAAGCCAGACCAAATGATTGGCCCGAGGGCTGGATGTTCCCCACCCCTGCTGTAATAGAAACAATTTTCCTAGTAGATAGGATCTAGAAATGAAACATAGCTGTCGATGAACCTCCAGAAGATGAATTAGCAAGTGGGGAAAAAAATGTTTTGAAAACAGATTGAGAAAGGGAAACAATCTACTTATAATTTTATTATTCATACTCATTCTTTTTCTACTCCAAGCTCTTGGGTGTGTGTTTTTTTTCACACATTAATAGTAAAGAATCTGGATGGGTAAACTGGGTTTGTCAGAATTGCCATTTTTGAAACAAGACTTAAGGAGAACTAACAGAACGAAAAAAATCCAGAATTCAGCCTTCTCCAATAGCAATGAAATTATGATAATAAGGTCAGTCCTTCAAATACTATAAAGTAGGCTTTTGTGTTTATTTTGGTAGTGGTGATGAGAGGTTACAAAATACTTCAGTCACTAATAAAAGAACACAGATATATACAATTTACTATTTGTGCTGTAACTGACAAAGCATTGTCTCTACAGCAATCTAGACGATATACAAAGAGCTCTGCTCTGTAGATACTGAACTGCTCTTTATATATTGATATGTAAAAGCCTTGACCTTGGCTCTGGCCCATCTGGTTCAGTTGACTGGCATGTTGCCCTGTACACCAAAAGGCGGTGGGTTTGATTCCCAGTCAGGGCACGTACCCTGGTTGTGGGTTCAATCCCTCGACAGGGCTCGATAAGAAGCAACCAATCGATGTTTCTCTCTCACACCGACCTCTTTCTCTCTCTGTCTCTCCCCTTTCCGTCCCCCTTTCAAATCAATAAAATAAAAAATAAAAAATAAAAACCTTGACCTTGGATTTTACACTGAGATAAGTACTATTTTACTCTGTAAATTAGGAAAGTGAGATATTTAAAATTCTGAGTATAGTACCTGGCACAGAATGAATAACTATTATATACATTTGTTAGATTTAATTGCCAATTTATTCAGAAGCCACAACTTTCCTCAGTTATGCAGACTTTTAATCAACTAGATACAAAAGAGATTTTAATTTGGTATACTCTAAATTATACAGTTTCCATACCTCTGTGTGTGTGTTCAGGGAGAGATAAAAGAGAGTAAAGAGTAGGACAGAGAAAAGACTTGGGATGTTTCTTATTACTAATAAGAAAAAAATAAGCCAATTTAAAGCTTACTGTTTTGCCATTAATTATGTTATATAAACAATTACTTCTAACCACATAATTCACTTCTTCCAAACTGCATTCTGTGAATTACTTGATCAATATTTAGTTTTTCTGTTTTGGAGATGTTTTTGAGGGGAAGAAAACAAATAACTTAATTCACCGGATTTAGAACAGCTTGCCAAGAAACCTCCCAAATAAAGGCAAGCATGGATAAAGAAACACTTAAAAAAAAAAAAAAAAAAATTAGAGAAATCTGCAAATTCTAATTCACCTGGTCTGTTATACTCACCAGAATAGTTGATCCCACTGCCTGCAGTAAATGGAACAATAGAAGTATTTTAAAGTTTACCACATATTTTGAATTTTACTCAAGATCAGACATAACAAAACATAGTAATCTTGGCTACTATATAAATATTTTAAACTACTGCAAACATATTCAAATGCTGAATAAGAAAATGTAAGGAGTAGATTGTTTAAAATTAAAAGTTGGTTATCGATATGGATACATCTAAGAGATACTTACACAAAAGAAATTAAAGTTTTTCTTAAACTTCAGGAAAAGAACCAAGCTTAAAATATTAACAAAACTTGCCCTGGCTGGTTTGGCTCAGTGGTTAGAGCGTCGGCCCATGGACTGAAGGGTCCCAGGTTCGATTCCGGCCAAGGGCATGTACCTCAGTTCCATCCCCAGACCTGGTCCAGGTGCGTGCAGGAGGCAACCAATCAATGTGTCTCTCTCACACTGATGTTTCTCTCTCTCTCCGTTCCACTCTCTCTGGCAAGCAATGGAAAAAGTATCCTTAGGTGAGGACAAAAAAAAAATTAACAAAGCTGCTCTTTTGATATAATGACAAGGGATCATTTTGTAAGTTCAGTTTTCTTCCATAACTAAAAACTACTGGGGGAAAAAACAAATTTAGAGAGTGCATTATGACAATTTGTCTTTTATAGTTTAGCATGTTATGCCACTGAACATCACATTAAGTAAAATAAAAATTGAGATAGTTCAGAAATTCATAGACATTTTAAATTTTAAAATAATTATCAAATGTTTAAAATAATGAGAAGTTTTATAAATTCAAACACTCCTAAATTACTATGTCAAACTTAGAAATAACTCTAAACTTTATCAACAACTTACTTGGTTTACATAACATATTAAATGTATTAATCAGCCTTACCATCTTTTCCATCTATGGACTTTGACACTTCAATATCAAAACTTTCTTGTATCTGCTGACCTCTAAAACAGCTGAGATGTTCTTGCTCAATTAAATTACTTTCTTCTTCTTCTAGAGGCTGCCAAGTACCATCAATAAACCACTGTCCACGCATTACTGGTATTTTATCGGCCTCTAAAAAGAGAAATCATGAATTACATATACATTTTAGGATCCAACTTCCTGTAAAGAAACACAGTAATTACAATTTTATGTTTTGCTACTGCTGTGGCAAAAACAGACTTTCAGGACTAAAGTTTTAAATTTCAGATTTCAAGCCACAAAATATAATTTTTTTTGGTATATAAGTTTACTTGTATTAAATATTACACATAAAAGTTACTTTGGTATTGGAAAGGTACATGAGCAGTTATCTATATAATTGAGGTTTAGAGTAACCAAAAGTAGGAGGCCAAGGGGTTAAGACAAATTTCATGCAAGACTGCTGAGAGTGCCAATGTGTTAGAAAGTATTGCTCTAAAACTCCCAAAAGTAGTTTAATAATAACGTGTGTGCACTTTTTAGGGCTACCTTGGAGGTTTATAGGTTCCCAGTTACTATACTGGAAAAACGGAAACCTTTAATTGTAATAAGTTCCTCAATTTTTAGAAAATAATTGAAAACACTTTCTTGAATAAATAATTCTGCTCCTATAAGACTCAGACTTTTACTTGCTATTTATTTAAATAAACTGTCAGCTAAGCTATCTTGAATCCTTAAAATTTTAAAATAAAGCAAAAACAAAACGGAAATAACAAAGCCCTAAAAATAAAAAGGAAAATGAAACAAATGAACTTAATTATGTTGTGAGTTGGTGGCTTAACCACATGTGCAGAAATTATTTCAAATGATTTATTTAAAACAGTAATTTGTGCATGTATATTAGGATATTTGCTATAGGCAAAAAATGCAAACATATCTTAAACCTTTTACAATACCTACAATGTTATAATTGTTAATAATTTTACAGTACTGTTAATTTGAAACTGTAGGTTAAGATGACTGCATTAACTTTGTTACTATCATTAGGAACCAAGATTTTTTGCACAAGAAAAAAGACATACAATATAAAAGTTAAAGAAATAAAAGTTATATAATTTTAAATTTCAATTAGAAATGTCACCATGAACTAATGATGCATTTTCTCTTTTAAAAATGTCCTAAGCTTTGTCCACTGATAAGGCCTAAAATAAAAAACCAATCCAGTATAACTGAGCACTCCTGACACAAAGGCTGTGATCTCTAAATGTCATTTCCTACTAAAAGAAACCAACAGTCCTCAAAGAAATGGCTAATTTCAGGTCTGGGATAGGAAATTAACTAGATGGTCCAGAAACATCTTGTTGTACTAGACTTGTACTGTGATGTATTCAAAATCCATTATTTGTTTCTATTTCTTCGTGCATTATCCTATACAGTTGACCCTCAAACAACGTGGGTCTGAACTGCGTGGGCCCACTCAGACACAGATTTTTTAAATACTGTAAATGTATTTTCTCTTCCTTATGATTTTAATAACATTTTCTTTAGCTTTTTATTGTAAGAAAACAAGTATATAATACATATGACATACAAAATACGTGTTAATCGACTGTATGTTATCAGTAAGGCTTATGATCAACAGTAGGCAATTACTGTTAAGTTTTGGGGGAGTCAAGAGTTACAGTACCTGGATTTTTTACTGTATGGGGGTCAGTACTCCTAACCCCTGGGTTGTTTAAGGATTAACTGTATTCTGCCATAGAAATTTTGCTATATTTAGGTGTTTGTTGTGTTATTTGGTACATAAGAAACTCAAAAATATTATAACTTACTTGCGAATTGTGGCTTTTAACATTAAAAAGCATACTCTGGTCCTGGCCAGTGCGGCTAAGTTGGTTGATGTGTTGTCCTATAAACCTAGGGGTTGGCAGGTTTGATCCTCAGGGGCGTACAGGAGGCAACCGGCTGACATTTCTCTCTCACATGCACGTTTTTCCCTCTCTCTCTCAAATCAATAAACGTATCCTTGGGTGATGACTTAAAAAAAGTATACTCTGTTGTGTTTAACATTTTTTTGGCGTAGTTTCTACTTTATCCATCGAGATTGCAACCTTTGCCTTCAGACTGTTTCCGTTTGCCTGTGATTTTTTTTGCACACCCCTTTATTTTTAACCTTTTAAATCACTGTGCTTTAGATGTGTCTCCTGTATATGGCATAGGCCTGGGTTTTGCTTTATGGAGCTCCTGAAGCTCTACTGGATCAAGTCACTTACAAAGGATGTAAAGCTGAATAGGAGGATCTCATGCTAACTGATATGGACTTGCACAGATATATATTTAAAATGTCAACGCACGTTACACAGCAGACTATGCAGACTGGGACCAGAGAAAAAATTTTCACAGGGTAATGGATGTAACAAATATGTTGGAACTAGATTAATAAAGTATTACTTTTTCATTTATAACACACTCATTGAAAGTCGATTTAAACTTATATAAAGATTAGTACATATCATTGCCACCTGCCTATCAGAAAATAAATAAGTCATTATTCTAATTATAACTCTTAGCCAAATCATGATAAAAGAAAGGACTTGACTGAAATAAAAAGAAAAATGTGGGTTCTTCTGACTAGAAAACAGTAGTGAAGTCCATTTTCCCACTGTGACCACTTCCTTCATTTAAGCAAAAGCCTGAATGGATAGGGGAAATTTGGCAGTAAAGATTTTTATGTATAAAAATTATACATATACCAGGAGGCAGAAGAAAAATTGTAAGCTTTTTAAATGACTATTTTCAAGAACTATTTCAACCCACATTATACTGTGCATATATGATATGTATAGAGAGGAAATCTTGACCCTTTTTCTCCAGCTTACCTATGCCCCGCCCCCACAGCTTTACCACTTAGGGTAGAAGGCATGCCTATAATTCACTGCTGATCTAGAAACTTAAAGAGCATATCTGACCACATAAGACTTAAAAAGGAAGAAATCACAGAGTAAGGGAAAACGGGACTGGAAAAAAATGAGGTAGAGAGATAAATACTTTGTCATTCATTCTTAAGGTTTGTTGTAAACGTAAAACCTGGGAACTCTGAATATACTACTTGTAGAATTAATGCTATAAATGGTGACCAAGGTCCCAGATCAGCCCCACAGAGGTCTACTTAAGACAATATATGCCTAATGTATTGATGAACTATTTCTACCAAACCATCCTTTACAACGGAAGAGGAAGGGGTTTCTCTTCCTGGTTCCAGTGTGCTCACCTTATTGGGTTCTTGCAGGATGTGAATTTCACTTTTCAGCAGTGCCCAGGTGCTAACAGCAATGGTATCTTCCCATGGGCAGCTTTCCCAGCACCACTTATTTTCTCACAGCTCTAGAGGCTAGGAGTTCAAGACCATGATGTTGGCAAGTTTGGTTTCATTACCCCCTAGGCAGTATCATAGTGGAACATTACCTGCTGGGCCCCTCTCCTTGGTCTATTCCTGCAACCCTTTAGGCAGCTTGTGTAAAATTCTGCCACTTTGCTGCACATTGTGACCACTGCCACACTCTCCAACGAAGTCAGAATCTCAGCCCTGAGAGGAAATACACTCTTCCTTGGGTGCCCTATCTTAGTCTAACCGATAGTGGCTGGAACCTGCATGTTGTAATTTCTGTATTCTTCATCGAGTTCCCTTTGCCCTGTTACTTCATTCCTTTATGTTACACTTTCTCTGTTGAAATTACTGTATGGTTTCTGTCTCCTGATTGGACTCTAACTGATAACAAGATTTTCACTACAGTGGAAACCCAAACTGTCAATAAACCTGTAACATGAAATGTGCTCAGACTGATGGGTAATTGTCAGAGGTGGAATTTGAAACAGTTCTTTTTCTAGGTATATACTCTAAGAAATTCTGGCACATTTGGGCAAGAAGATGTATATTGAATTTTTTATTATAGAAATGTTTATAATAGCAAAAAACTGCAACCAACCTAAGTGTCCAAAGAGGAAAACACACTGTGGTACATTCATGCAGTGGAATACTACTACATACAGCAACAACAAATAGATGGAGTTATGTGTGTCAGCATGGATAAATCTCAAAACACCTAACCTGAACCAGAAAGCAAACTGCAGAAGGATATAAAGAAAACGGCACTATTTATATAAAGTTAAAACAAGCAGAAAAAAGAACGCCACTATGCATAATAACCTAATAATCTAACAAATGCACAGGAATACATGATGAATTTAGGAGGGCAGTTACTTTTGTATTGAAGAAAGGAGAATGGGAGGGTCACAAGAGACTTTGATTACACCTGTAAGGTATAGTTTCTTAAGCTAAGTGAGGGGAAGTACTACTGATTGTTGGTTATGTTATTTAGACTTTGATATACTTGAGATATTTCATAATAAAATCAATACTTAAAAATAATAACTTGACAGTTCTCAGAAGGTGGGTGAGAAAGCAAAAACATTATGTACAAAAGATAAAGTTTAATTGCTAAATGAAATGAAAGGTAGTAAATAAGGAACTAGATATCAAAATGTTACCTTCTATTTGAATACCTGAACACTTGCTCATTCACTAGACAGGAACTATACTCTGGAGGAATAATGTACAAAAATAAATCATTATCCTAATCATCACTTAGCCTGTCTACAATGTTATAATTGCAAAATTGGGTTAGTAGTTAGCAATCATACAAAATTCTATCTTAAGAAAGAAATTATCTATACCTCAAAATTACATTTGATCACATTTGAAAGTAACAATTACACTAAGAATACTAAATTATGTTTAGATAATATCTACCACTCACCAAATTTAAACTGATTTTATAGAAGTGAGAAACTCTGACAATATATTTATACCTTAACTACTGTTTAAAGGCCAAGGCCACAGACTTTTAAAACCTACATATATTTCTTAGTTCTTCATTAGTGAAACTATAAAGTTGTATAAGTGGCTTACTGTCCTTGTATTAGTTTGCTAGGACTGTCATAAAAAAAATACCACATTCTGGATGGTTTAAACAAAGGAAACTTATTTTCTCACAGTTCCAGAGGCTAGAAGTCCAAGATCATGGTGTTGGCAAGTTTGGTTTCTTGTGAGGTCTCTCTCCTTGGTGTGCAGATGACTACCTTCTCTGTAGCCT